GAGGAGAGGGCTTTGTAAGGGACTCAGGCACGCGAAAGTCCACCTGATTACTCACATGCAAGATGTGTTAGGAGAGCTTCTAGCACGTTTACTTAATGACCAAAATGATTTGCAACCAGATGACTTAATAGTCCCTTCTGACCTTACAAATCTCTGTATAAACAAGGGTTTATTCTCCCACACTCTGGGGATTGAATCCAGCTGGACAGAAGGGACTTGGGAGAACAGAACCTCCGGCAATGTAAATAGCATTCTGCAGGCTTATACCAGCTGATGACTTTGTCTAGATGGCTGATGTAATTCACATACTTGCAAACAGAGAAAGAGATGTTCCACTAATCTGCGTACATTCTCCAGCACCTACTTAGACTATCTCCGAGCTTTCTGATGTTCTTTTTCCCTAGGGCTATTTTGTCCTATCAGCAAAGTCACGGATTGAAGCCACTCATGCATGAGAGGATAACGCTACCAACAAAGTTCTGTCCTGAACAGGAGAAGACTTACAAGTGAACAACACTGGTTTTAATATACGCATGCTGAGATCCATAAATAATTGGTGACAGCTGTGGGTGGACAGTTGTACTATTAGCTTTTCCTGCAGGGATTTGCAATAAATACTTAAGGATGGGCTCAGGCCACAGTATTTAGAGCCAGATCTAGATCATGTTCCACATTCACCAAGTTCAGATTCCAAACTGTGAACACACCCTGCTCCAGGATTCAAACCTAAAACCTGCCTTCAAGGCTTTGATTTCAACCAATGCATGTTAAGGGGCTTCACTATGACATGCTACTCATAACCTAAGCTTTCCCAAGCCTTAGGGGGGCATGCACTGTTTTGGTTTGGCTCTTCAGATATAACAGTTTAACAAGCTCCAGGGCAGTCTAAATCTGTTCTCTGCTAGCAGGAACTGCACTTACCCCTGGCATGTATTCAACAAATATAGACAGTTTCTTCTCCTCAGGATCCCGCAGACACCCATAGTACTGCACTATCCTGTCATGGCGGAGAGTCTTCAATAGCTGAATCTCACATTCTAAGGCATTAACTTCCTGTAACAAAACAGACATGCTTCATGATGAAAGGGAATGGTTACTTTGGGAATATTATACAAATACTGCTCACTGCTGAGCACTCTGTTCATAGCATCTGTGAAGCTGCCCACCAAGGACATCAGCCATGTAAGGCTCAGAAGTGAGAAGTGTTGCCCTAAGAAAAAGGTAAGGAAAAAAGACAGATAGGATACACAAGTGCTTGGCTTTGAGATAGGTTTACTTATTATTACTGGTGCTCAAGGAGTTTTTCTGGAAAGGTGTGAATGAAGACACTAGCAAAGCTAATACAGTACCCAGACAAAGTGGTGAAGGAAGCAAGGCAGCCAAAACTAAGGAAAGAGCAGTCAGACCTGAAAGAGATGACACCTGAGACAGAGAAGGAGAAACCTGGTGAAAGAAACTAGGATGTAAAGAAGTCACCAGAGCATGCTGACTGTGCCACAAACCATTGGGGACCACTCTGGAGAGGGCAAACACCACACATGGTCTCCACAGACTGCCTTCCATCAGCAACATGGACCCCTCTGACATCTCTGCCCTCAGACTCCAAGCCCACCATTCCCCAACATGCTGCATAACACAGTCCTGCCCTTGTACTCACTTTACTTGTCTCTTGACTGTCAGGGTCAAAAGGCACCTGCTTTACTGACAACTCCCGGCCAGTGTCAGCATCGTAGCAGAGATAAACTTCACCAAAAGCCCCTCTTCCAAGCAGCTTCCCCAGCCTCCAGTTCACAGGTGCCTGCAGGGCTACACAAGAGATGAGAGAGTTGAGAGAAGAGCACACAAGGGAGTCTTCATCATCATGTCCATCTCACCCTATACAGAGGAGATCAGGCTTGCAATGAGCCCACCAGGGCAGGCAGTGAGCCCCCCCTCTCACAGGGACACCATGACAAACCAGTTTTAATTGCATTAGTGCTACTGGGGGTGGGGGGGGATGTCTCCCGGTCTGCAATAGCGCAAAGCAGAAACAAGTCCCAGAAAAGTCACATTTCTTTGAGTCCTTCCTCCAAAAACTGCCGTCTTAGCCAATGTTGCACTTTCCTCTGCTATTGAAGCAATTAGCAGGATACAGCGTGGCTGAGCAGCAGCCCTGGCAGGGACCAGTAAAGAGTTTTATCTCTCTGGTCATTCCTAGGTTATCCACCACTGAACATGCCCAGAATACACCAATTCCTATAGCACGGGCAGCCTTGCAATACCAGAGTAGCCTGCCACACCATCTTTGGGTGCTGGGGTGACAGCAATGTAAGCCAAGGAAGGGAGCCTCTGGGATGTGAGAGCAAAAGCATCCAAGTATCCTGGAAGCTTCTGCTGCATGAGCACACCGACAGTCCAACATACTAGCAATTTTCTGCAACTCAGCAAGTGATGAACACCAGCTGAACTCACACATGGTCTCAGCTCAAGGCCAAGTTAAGATAAAGTGTATTGTATTAAACCTTCCTCACTGAGACACGAGCTAGCGCACTGTGCCTTGTGCTGGGGCTGGAATCAAAGTGCATTCACACATGCTTAACTTAGCTCATGCCCAGTAACACAGCAGGTCACAGTAACTTGATTTTGTATGAGACGCAGGTGTACTGAGACCTCAGGCACTCGTGGCTTTGATTCACTTACAGTTTCTAGCTTTGGTAGGGGAGGTGCTGAAGACCTGCAGACCTTTTTCACAATTGCTCCTCCATTTGGGCCTGTATTCATCGTACTGCAAGGTGCTGAGCTTGCTGTCCCCATTAAAGCTCTTGGTTCGGCTAGAAGGGACAAGCTGAAACAGGTTCTCCTGTGGGAAGTAACTCCTGGGAAAAGTCCTCCGGCCTGTAGGAGGAGGAAAGGGGGAGAGTTATAGCAAGAATGCACAGACCAGCTTGGATCTACCTATCACCACCTTCTCACATCACTGCCCAGATGCAGTGATGCACCTCTTCAAATTAAACAAAACACGCTTGATGAAACTGGAGCCTGGTGAACATTTTTAATTTGATTTAGGAGTTGTTAACAGCAGGCATTACATCTAATGCAGATGTTTCCAGAGGGGTTTGCAACAGTTTAATTACATTAGGGGGTTTTGTTGGTCGTTAATCACAATTCAACTCTAAACAGGCAGGGATTTACACTGCATATTATCCCTCCTGTCCCCTAAGTCCACAATAGAAATGACCACACAAACAGTTCCAAACCTCATGATAACTGCTTTGACAAGGCTGGTGCCAGTGAGAGATGGAGTTCATGCTGGAAGGCTCATTACACTGTCTGCATGTACTCAGGTTGAGTTTGGTTTTTTTTCCCAAGGGAATTTGGTTCCTACTCAGTTTTGCCTCCCACCACTTTCAGTCTCATACAGTGAATGGAGGAGCAGCAAGGCGATGGAATGGTCCCCAAAGCTCAGAGCTCACCAGCTTAAAACAGACGTGAACAGATATTGCTACCCTGAAATTGCTAAGGGATTTCCTACAGCTCTGTGAGAAACCTGCAGTAAAGCTCACAAACCAGCATCATCAACAGCCAGCAATTAAGGGGAATAGAAAGGTTGATATTGCCAGGGATGAGAAATGCCAATCATCCATGTCGCTAAGGAGCTGAACACTGACTTTCATATGTGCTTTGGACGCTCAGCACTTCCCAAGGGCAGACCCACAAGGTCACACAGAAGATGCTCTTCAGAATGCACGAGCGAGTCCCAAATTACTTGGTGGTTCTCCCTCTATTAGAAACAGCTCCTTTCCAAGTCCCTCCAGTCCCAGGCATTGTCACAAGCATCGAGATCCTGGACTGAGCACCTCCCTTCCCGACCCTCCATCATTGTCTTACCATCACTGTAGTCCTTGCGACTTTGGGAGAGGTGGTACTGCCTCGGGAAGGTCCCACCTTTCCCAAACCTCTCGCAGAATGGGATATCGAAATCTGACAGGAAGGAAGAAGACAAATGTTTCTGAGATCAGGTCAGAATCAAATGGTCAGAGCATTTCTTATGGGAAGGCAAGAATGAGGTGACAAGCTGTTCATTCACGTGACCATACAATCCCCAAAGCTCCCTCTGAAATCTGTCCACAGTCACACACTCCTTAGTGGAAAATAAGGGTTAGACTTATGGACCCTGGCCATAAGGATTTAGACTCCCTTTACAGACCCTGGCCCACACTGTTCAAATACAAGGCGGGGCATTAACACAGACCAAGCCAGGTTCCCAAGATATCTTCCTTGCACCTGGAAAATGCAGAAATTACTGTGGAAACAGAACTGCCAGGCAGGGTCAGGTCCAGATCCATTTAGTCCAAAACCTTTGCTCTGATATCAGCTATTTCCAGGGAAATGCAAAAATCCAGCACTTGGCTAATACTGGACAATCTCTCCCCTCTTTCTTCTCAGGTGTAACTCCTGACCTCTGAAAGCCAGAGACCAATTTATACCTCTTGAGTTCCAAACTTTTATATTTACTTTGCTTAAATGCTAAAAAGATAGACCATCAGAGTTTATATTAGACATGAAATTATGAGCGAGATGGATGGACATGCAAGATAAGGGCATATTTTTTAAACTAAAAAAACAGCCAGCATGGGAAGCCATTGCAGGTAGCACTGAATAACTTGAGTTTAAAATATCTGCCATTTCACCCCCCATCTTTCACCTGCTGTTTTTCCTCCATCCAACTCTAATGACACAGTCCGTTCTGATTGTTTGTTTGTGTTAGCCTGGAGCCAGCAGGACTCCTTGGAGACTGTTCCTGGCCTCTGCTGCACTTCAGCATGATTTCCCCATTACAGCAGTGCTCAACAAGAGTGCATAATGGCTGAAATATGGTCAGCAAGAAAAGCAACAAGGACAGGACAAGAGATTCTGGGCGAGCCACGTGTGAGCAGCAATGGAGTGGTGTCTCAAAGCAAAATGCCTCCCCTACCACTAGGGATGTATTAAAACCTTAAGTGATGTGGACTGACTGCAGCTTCATCTCTACAGTTCAATCTCGAAAGCCTGCCTCAGGCCAGGAATGAGTTACCATGCCACAGGCTGACTGCCATTTGCTCATTTTTAATAGTGAAAGTCATTACAATATTACAGAGTTTCCATGATTTAACCAGCTGGATGTTTATAAGTGATTAAGCAGTAACCTATGATCCTTGCAACTTACCAATACACTTTTCTCTACCAGCATTTGCAGTATTACAATTATTAATATAAGTGGAGGAAGTATAACTCCCTAGAGAGTTTGGGACTCAGGTTTTGCTACATAGGAATTCAGGATCTTGGAAGTGCAATTCACGTGTACTAACAACAGAGACAAAAGGTGATCCCACAAGGCTGTTTCCAGCTTGTCAGCACCTCGCAGTTGTCTCCAAATACAAGAGCAAGGCCCCCTCAGCAACTTCTTCCAACACAGAACTCATCTCTGATGTTTCAAGAGCTTAACTTGCTTGCATCTGTTTACCTCAGGGCCCTTGCTATCCAGTTTGCACTGTTGTTGCTGGAAACCAGTTCCTGAACCAGGCTCAAAGGTTCTTCAGTGCTACCACTACCACTGCTGCACAGCTGAGAAGGGTTAAGGGTTAACGATGGTTCAAGAGGAACCCTGCCTGTATTTGATACTCTGAGCCTTTTGATTTTAGAAGATATTCATGTTTGATCACTGCAGGGTCATTTTTGGTATGTAACCTAAGCTATGGAGCTAGTTTGCTTGATTGTTTTTAATTACTTCTCATGCAGTGCCATCTCTTTAATAGCCTTTATCCAGTCTCTTTTCTGCTTTTTATACTTTCAGCTTTTTATACTTTTAAGCAAATACAAGCCTCTAAGAGTGCTTACCCATGCAATCAAGACTGTCTTTGGGATGGGTCTTCCTTCCAGGAACAGGGGTTTGGGTGAAGGGAGGGCTGCAAAGGGATGAAAAAAAAAAAAAAAAGGATACACTTAGTTATATTGGAAAGGCTGCTTTTTATATCAAAAAGGCACTTTATTATATCAGAAGAATGAATTAGGAAGTAGTTACACGCAGAAGGGACAGGCTATACCACAAGATGGACTGATCACTGCTCAGCCCAGTCTACCCAACTGAGCTCCCATCCTCAAGATGCACAAGAATAAAGACTGAGTTTTTTTCTGGATCACAGCTTGTTCCTGTGGCAAACAAAAGGGATGCTGAAAAAAAAAAACAGTCACCAGGCTGAAATGAAGCAGCCAAAGCAAAGACTGTAACAACTATTCATGAGATGGCACAGAAGGAAGGCTGCAGATTTCTCTTCCCTCAACATCAAGTGTTCAACTGTGCAACCCTGCTTTCTTTGAACATTGCTTAGCTGCTTCAGATGCACACATCGGAGTCCTTCAGTCACACGTAACTTATGCAGGTCTCCCCTTCTCTGCAACATCATCTCCCACCTTCCTCATGCAGGAGGGTCCATACCACCCCTGGGCACACTTCCAGCAGGGAGAGTGCAGGATTGGTGCTTTGAGGCTCAAGGTCTTTCAATCACATTGAGAGGATGGTAAAGCACTGCAAGGACCTCAGCAATCCTGATTTCAGCTCAGCCTCTCTAAGGACCAACAGCATAATCTGGGCAGGTTACTTTTCCACTCTTCCTTTTAATAAAATGGGCACAGCAGTACAAATCAGCTTTGTAAGGTGCTCTGACATGTACTTATGTCAAAGCTTATCACAGCTGGTTTGCTGTGGGAAAGAGGAATTTGTCATGTTGTTAGTATCAGACAGGTCACCATGCCCAGTGACTAACTCTGCTCTCTTGAGGCTAATGCCATCTCAAGCAATTGGCTACAAGGGCTCAGTTATATCTTCGCAAGAATAGTCATACTTACTCCTTGTTCATTTTCCAGCTCCTACACCGTATGACTGAACACAGTTGCCTCCTTATTTACATGTGAAATCAAGCCGTACTACCCTCCTGAAAACACACCTAACACTCTGTTCTCAGTTTACAATAATGTTACAACCAGGCCCTGCTCCTGTTGTCCTTACTAACAAAGTCTATGTAAAAACAAAGCTGGAGCTTAGAGGTTGGGAGCACAAGGAATCCAGCTACAGCTGTTACAATGAGCAAATACTTCACAGGAAATTATTAAAACCCACAAAAAGGAAATGGACCTTGATGCTGAGACAGATCCAAATCACTCAGACCTGCAAACCCAAAGCAGTATACATGATTAAATCAATGCAATGCAGACCTGCTGGAACACACAGCCTTGATGCTGCATAGCAAAGCAAATGGGGGGGGGAGAGGGAGGAATCTTTGAGACAGATGGAAAAAAATATATATATTCCTTCCCAAAAGGACACTGTGTCTTATACACAGCCGACCATGCACAGCAGCAACCATACAGTTGCTGTGCACGTGTGAGCTTGGACCAACCAGCCTCACCAACTATTGAACTGCAGCCTGTGCTAGTACAATGTTTTTTTTTGAGAAGCTAAACTTAGTTGTTGCTCCTCTGGTGTCCTCAGCACCTTGACTGACATGTCTGTGGCTGCTGGCAGTGCACAGGGCCTGCTGAATTTACAAGTGGTCAATGGGGAACAGACAGCATGCGCGGGGAGGAGGAGGCACAGAGAGGCTAATAGACAGAGTATTGACCTGGTAACTGCAGAAAGCCAGGAGGGTAGGAGAGGGATCAGACTGAAGCAGAAAACCTGGGCACACAATGCCAGGCTGTCTGCAGATCCCCAGCTACTCTGTCCAGCTACCACAATTCAAATCACACCATCACACAGATGTCTGTGCTAGGATCTGGTTTTCAGCATTCAAGATAGATTTGTTTTGCTCACGTGCATCCTCACCTCAAAAGGAACCTCAGGGAATGCCACAGACCCCGCTCTACTCCTGCTATAGCACAGAGGCTGCATTTAAGCTTGTGAACACAGTGACACACAAGACTCACCTGTCCACAGACCTGTCCAGGGACTGGCAGCTCCCAGACAGTGAATCATCGGGGCTGATGAAAGCTTCAAGCATCTAATAGTGAAAGAGAAAAGGAAACAATAAAACCATGCACTGTGGCTCTTCAAGTTCCAGGACTAGCAGACCTCTGCAAGGTCAACGAACTCCACTGAAGCTGGCTGATTTACAGCAGCTGATACAGCCCCAGTAGAGATGAGATTCAACCTAACAAAAGATTTCTTCCCAGTGGAAATCCATTTACAATGCCCTCTCTGGATTATTGTTCCTTACAACTGCTTTTTGCTACTAGGGAAACTGAGGCAAAGATCATTAACACCCTGATGAGCAAAGCATGCTGAGAAGTGAATGAGATATAAAGTGGGAAAAATAATAATATAGGTATGACAGGACACAAATGATGTGCCCAAGGCCAAATGGACATTGTGCACCACAGCCAGGATCACAGCCGTGGACTCCCAACTTCCCTGAGCTGTCCTGGCACACAAGACAAGCCTTCCTCTCCGGTGATAAGCGAAGCATCATCAGGGCTTTTGGCTGAAGGAACTAGCTTGGCTCTCACTAGCTCAGTGAGTCAAAAGCTGCATTTGTGTTGCTTCCTGGATGAGACATTGTACTAGATGGGGTTATTTATAGCTGGTTAGTAACAATAGAGGTTTTGTATTGAGTGGTAAACCTAGGGGCTATGTGCACTTCCACACAGAGCAGAGCTTGCTCAGGCCCATGCTGTGCCACAGTCACTACAGTGCTTCCTCCTGGCTGCAGACCCACAGCAGACACTTGCTAACCCCTACTTCACAGCCAGCCCTGAGACCAGCTCATTCCTGGGAAAGCTGAGCAACGAGGGTTAAACGCTACATGGAGTCACCCTTCACTGGCTCCTGGACCTGCATCGCTCCTCCTTCTCCTTGTACAGCAACAGCCTCCCTCTCCATGTGCTGTTCCTGTGTTAGACCTCCTCAACCGGTTGTCATAACAGCTCGCATTGTTGTGGCAGGCCAATCCCAACTGGAAAGTGTGATTTTTCCTCCACTTTCCAGTTTTTACCCCAAAGCCTCACCCTCCAAAATGCACTAGACAAAGAGGAACAAAACCTCTGCAAGAACCCAGTCTCCACCTCTGCCAGCTATGCCAGGTCTCTCCTAGCAGTTAAAATAATGCTGAAACACTCATTTCTCAAAAGCATAAAATTGAGAATCCAAGCAGGCTCCACACTCAGCCTCTGTTCATGTGCCAAGCTGGTCTCAAACCAAAGACTGCAGTTACATCACAGGCTTGCACAGGGGCATCCCCCAAAAGGCATCAAGAACCAGCTTGTAAAGTGGTTTTCTACGAGGCACATATGGAAGCCGCAGCACAAGGACATTCTGAGAGCAAAGCCCATATGGGAAAAAGCATGGCTGCTCAATGAAAAGGGGGGTGGGGGTGGACGACCACCAAGAAATCCCCAGAAAAACAATCCCCAAATCCCCTTCTCCCTGGATTTAATTCAGCAGAGAAGGGCAGCACGCCACCCACAGCGTGATGCTAGAGAAAAGCAAGGAGAGTACCTGGGAACCTTCACCAGGAACAGGCTGAGAGCTCAGCCAGTGCTAACAGAGCTGCATTAACAGCCAGTGGAGCTGCACTGATTTACACCCCAGGGGGTTCATGGGGACTCTCCCCCTGCACGCACATGCAGTTTGTCTTAATCCTACCAAACATGTTTGAAAGGCATGCAAAAACAATAGAAACCCAACTTTTGGCTGCAAGGAGCACAAGATACATCTGCACTCTGATGCTGCCAAGACTTACCCGGAGTGACTTCTTATTTTATTAATGGCTGTATAATAAACTGTTGAAAACATAGCTTTGCCATGGAAACACTGGCACAGCCTGCACACAAAAGGGGAGCTAGTGGGTGCTATTTGAGTGTAGTGAATGCATTTCTCCCAAGGCAAGATCCTTGGGGGCCGTCACAGCAGCTTGCTGAAGTGAGCTTAGTGCCTTCCAGATGTCCCTCCTGCAAATTGTGGATCCTGGTCCTGCCCTTCCAAGAGCTTTGCAAGAATGAATTGTGTGCCCAGGCAGCCCAGCTGACTTCACAGGACCCATACTAAGCTGTTTAGAGCTATAGCTTGAGCAGATAGATGCAAGCTGCTCCCCCTCTGGTCCATCAACACTGCAGTTTCCTCCATCATGGGTACGCTATCGCCTGGAGGAAGAGGTACTGCTCGTCACTGTGCTGGAGAACTAGTTGCTCTTTTGTTACTGAGGGATTAAATATACAAACTCCTCATTAGGAAAGAGTTAAAAAAATATATATGGGGGAGGGACAAAAACAAAATCACAGAGAGAGGCTGTGGGCAGAGCCAAGAACTGTAACTGGAGCTCAGGCAGAAACAGCACACGGGGAAGCAGCAAGCGCTGCTCACATCCCCAGGCTGTTGCAATCACAGGCAATCGGTTGCTTGGCACACTCCCTCGTGGTCCCCAGCATCCAGGAAAGCTGTGGCCAGAAGGACCTGGCAGCTGCTGTACATGTGTGTCCCAGATCTATGCTCCTCCAGAGCTACCTGAAGTGCCTGAGCATGTTACTATGACCACTGCAGCTGGCTTTTAGGGTTCCTGGAAATTGCACCTCTGTTTATTAAGCATGAGGGCACCCATTCCTGGAAAAAGCTGGCCTGAGCCCCACGCACTGGGTCTTTAATGGTGGGAACAGCATTCTCAGCGACCCTCATGTCTGCTGCTGTCCTGGTTTAACCCATACCCCTCAGCCCCACTTACATTCTGATCCATGGTCTCAGGGATGAATTCGCCCTCACTGTTGATGCTGGTATAGGATCCCTGGCGAGCGATCTGCTGCTGCTCTTCAGGAACGCTCCCGGGGGGTGGAGAGCTCCGGCCAGTGTGCAGAGAGCCTAGGACACAGGAAAGGCAGGGGTCAAGGAGAGGACTTGCCATATCCAAGTCCTTCCAGAGACTCTGTTCCAGGCATCACAGACCTCCTGGATATGCTGCTGGGTTTGAACTTGCGTTGAAGGGAATAGAGGAGCTAGAAATGCAGTAATGTTTATGGACATCTACACAGCTTTCGCAACAGGGACAGTCTGTTACTGTGGGGCCACACAATATCTAGCAAACTTGGCCTTCATTGTACCCTGTATCCTAAGAGCTCTGCGCTGTATCCAGGTGCTCTGTCAATGCTAGAAAGAAAAGGACTCCAGAGTTTTGTTTTGCTACAATCAGTCAATACAAAAGCAAAACACAAACTCCAAACTGACCTCTCCTCTTTGACCTCCAGGCATTTCCTCCTCCTGAATCACATCACTGCCTTGTTCAGCAACCTGGGAAACAGCTTGGGTGCAACATCACTTAAATGCTTCTTATATGCAAAACAATTTGTACTTAAATACCCCTCTTCTTACTCCCTCAAGTCCCCCCCAACCAATTCCTTGTGCCTATTCAGGCTTTAGGGAACGTTGCCCTCACTTCGCCCAGATACACAGGTTTGGCTTCACTTGTCTTTCTGCAGCCCCTCCCCTCCATTCCTGGGCTGTCATCGCTTCATGGCAAGAAATTGCTGACAGAAGTCCATGCTAATCTGTGCTGGAGCTTTAACCAGTCAGCATTGTGCAATGTGAGCCTTTGCACAACAACTTGTTTTTAAGCAGACTCTGAAGAGCACACATCCGTGAAGAGTTAGAAAGCACATGAAAATGGGTTTCTTTACACTTTGTATCCATTTTTATGGCATTCTTGCCAATTCTTAGGTTCATTACTTCCATTTGGTAACAAGGTGCCCAAGCTAAGCACCATATTGCAAGAGAAAGGTACCAGGAAGGGGCCTATTCGATCATAAAAAGTCAATACTGATCAATCAACACAACACTTTTCCTCTTCTGCTGCTATTCTGCATCACAGTTACTGTGCCAGATTGATCTCTGGCATAAACCCATCAGCATGATCAACACTACAAATCTGAGTTCCCACCTTTCACTTAAGCTGATATGCATCAGAAGCTTCTAATGCGAAGAGTGTCACACCAGCATTAAAGATCACTAAATCAGGTTTGCTGGATTTATACCAAATACATTGGTATCTCTGTCCCATAGTATGTCTTCCTCCAGACTCCGTGCTCAGATTGTTAAAATAAAAGTCATATGGCACCGAGTTACTTTTTTTCTTCTTCCTATTTTCTCCTTCACAGATTTCCTGCAGGATACGAACACAGCGAAAAACGTCCAACTGAAGTAATGCCAAGATCAAGGGGGGAGAATCTCTCGAGTGCTGCAGCACTCATAATGAACTGGCTTTCCACCAGCCCTGAAAACAAAACCAGTTGGGAAGTACGGCATCCTCTCTTTGAAGATAAATAAACAAACCTTTAACCATTTAACAGTTTGGGCACCCTGGACATATCACTGCATTATCATCCCCTCATTTGCTTAGCAGATGTCAATCCAGAATGCAGCTTAAGGACATTTGGGTGGCTCTTGCTCCAAAAAGCTGCAAGAGGATTTGGTGTGGTGAAACTGCTGTATCTTGGCTCTGCTGAGCATTTCTGTTACTGCTAGGATGAGGGGTGGGTCTGCTCAGGCACTGCTGAGGTCTCTCACTCCAACAACCTGCCCATTGCCCAGGAAGTCTTTGACTCAGATTTTACCTACCCTGTTTAATATTGAACCCAGAGAGTTAAATGAGATTTATCACAAGCGTGAAGACTTTGCACGATCTCACAGTAAGCCTTTGCCTGTAACAACTAATCCCAGCCCTCAGGTCAGTTGTGTTTGACCTTCCAGAGTCACATTTCCTGCCAAAAACTGTAAGAGGGGATAAGACACTAGCCATTTCCCAGCAGGCAAGGAAGTTGAACAAAATGCTTAGGCTTTTGCATGCTTGGAAACTGCTGGATTGAACCAGATCCCTTTGAGCCAGACTGTTTGGGTAGAAGAGAAGCTCTAAGTAATTTATGTAGCTCAGACCTCCAGGAGCACTGGTTGCTGCTGCTTCACATCCATGTATGTCTATCTGCCCAACAGAAACGAAGGGAGGTGGTGGGAGCAGAGCCCTGGAGGCCAAGGTTGATTCCTTCCTCCAGTCCTATCATGCCCTATTAACAAAACCTCAGGCAATTTCAGTGTTGGGGGCAGGGGGGGAGGCGGTAATGGAAAATAGAGATCAGGTAGAGACAGCAACTGTGGTACTCAATGAGAGGCTTAATTCATAGTGGGGGCAAAACAAGGCGTATTGGATATATAAGATAATGCTGCTTTACCCATCCAGAAGCAGAGGAAGAAACTGACATATAAGCCCAGATGTGCCTGTTTTACACATCATGGATGCTCTTCACACTTGACCAGATTCAAGAAACAGCAGCAGCACCAGGCAGAGAGAGGAGACTCCTACGGGACTGTCCTCCTGGGTTACATGTCAGCTCCAGTCCCCAGACCCAGTGCAGATAGGGCAGACTGGGAGGCACTTCTTCAGAAGCCGAATGCTGGCTGTATCCAAGGTCCCTTCCAGCCCTAACCATTCCATGATCTCAGCAGCTCTGTTGAGGATTCCTGAACTCAGAGAAACTCTGCAGGTTGGCACCGGTTGAGCATCTGACCTGGGTTACCCTTTGGAGCAAGGTGGTTTGGGAAAGGATTCCTGCCCCATATTACAAGCACTAATGTAAAGCCATATATTTAAGAGTAGAGCACAGCATGTCCTGAGCTGGGTGAACCAGGCCAGCACGGAGACTTACAGTCACTGCTGGCATGTGCTGGGGTCTTCCATGTTCCCTTCTGTTATTTTTATTTAAGAAGCGTCTTTCATGCAGTATGTGCAAGTTTGTGGTGCTGCATGTACAGCCAGCTCCCCTGTGCCAGGCTTGGCTTCCCTCCACCTCCATGTTCCCTCACTTCACCCTTCCCCTGCCCTCGCAGGTCCTTCCCAAAACTTCATCCATCACCGACTGGCATCAAGCAGGGCTCCCGATGGAGAGGAGAAGCCCCTTAAAAGCCAGCATTGGGGAGGGTTTGCTGGCAGCTGCCTATGCTCACAGCTGCAGCCACAGAGAGCCCAGCCCGGGGATGACGTCGCCGCAGAGCCGAGCGAGGGACACCATGTCGGGATGTGCCGTTCCTCTGAGCCCTGGCAGAAACACGGGGCTCAGGATGCAGCAGCACACACAGAGGAGATAAACCTGCAGGAGAATTCTCACTCTGTCACTGTCGAGGGGAGGTGTGAGAAGATGGACCAAGTCTCCCCCCTCTCCATGCTGATCCTCTGAGGATGGAGTCCTGCATCTTGCCTTAAGGCAAACTTTAGGGTGTCCTAATAAGCAGGATAGGGCCCATTTTCCAGCCCTAAAGCAGCCAACATGATGCACACAGCCAAATTCTCCTCTTCTCAAAATAGAGGGGGTCTTATCCATCCCAACTCCTGCAACAGGTCCCTAGCCCATGCTACCCCAGTTTGTACCTGGGCACTTACCGGACAGCAGTTATGGTACAGGCTGGCAAGGGAATGTGCTAACGGTTAAGCAACTTCATCAACAGCCAGCCGGTTCTCCTGTCCTGGCCTTGTGAATTTAACAGCACAGGTATCACCTCCAGGCCTTTGTTTCTCAGGCTTATCTGACAAGCAAAGTCTTTGTACCATCTCTCTACAGAGATCTGTATTCAAAATCTCCCTGTGTGCTATAGCAAGGGTTAGATGTTGCTGCACCAGTGTCCAGGCACCCATGAAAACCTGGGCACCATCACTGCAGTACAATTCTCTGACCTGAAAGTCCTGCTGCTCCCACGGCTGGTCCATATTTGACAGCCCAGACTCAGCCAGCATTAACTCCTGGTCTGGAGAGGCCTGGCAGGCACATGGTGCCACAGCGCAGCAGCCTGGTCTGCCATCGTGAACGAAGTAAATTAAAACTGATTTTAAATGAAAGCTTTTAGCAAATGTTTCCGCTGAAATGGTGATTCAGGAATGCGGCTCTTGAGTCATTTGTGGATAAGGCTCTGAAATAGATATGTCCTCAAAGTAAATAAAAACAACCCTCAGTTATCTGAAAATCCAGAACCCAAATAGATTTTGGCCAAAGTTTCCGAAGTTCCAAAGCTGAACATTTGCAGATGCTGGTCACTAAGAAACTGGAACATTTTCTGCCCCTCCACCCTCCTCACAAAAAAGAGGGGGGCCGGGGGATTTCAACTTCAGAAGTTTAGAGGGGGGAAAAAAAATAGAAAAAAGAAAAAGAAAATATTGACTTTGCATAAGGTTTTTCAGGGACGTGGTGTCAAGCCATTTTCTGTCCAGAAGCAAAAATAGCCAAATCTTCCCCAGAACATCTGCCCCCCCACCTTTTCCAATGTGCTTGTGCCAACAACATGCGCTTTGACTATTTTTTGCTGCTGCTTACATGGCAAAGTCAGCAGAAAAACATAAAACATCTCAGAAACACTGAGAACATGACCCTGAACCACCTTTTCTTACAAAGTCACTTTCAATCTTCTTTTAAATGTGGTTTCAAGAGAAAAGCTGAACTGAGTTAAGATCCTCTCTTGATAGCAACCACCTTGATGACAGAAGAAGCAAACACTGAAAAACCTTGCAGCTGGAAGTGAATAATAGTTTCTCTTTCAGAAATCCCAGCCTCTTAGGCTGCCTTTTGATTATTCACTAGGTTCAGTGAAATCCCTGGTTCAGGGACCCACAACACAGGATCATCTCTGCCCGTCTGTTGCCCAGTGTTCAGTTTCATGCTCCATTTGAAACACTGTTCTCCCTTTGGGCTTGCTGGACTTTCTGCCCAGCTGTTAGATTACCCATTTCTGGCTCAGGAGGTTGAAAGAAATTTACCTCCTGGCTTGAAAACACCTCCTAAGCAGAGCTGCAGTAGCTCCATACAGACCCAGGTAACTCTAAAGAGACCTGGTGTGCTGCTACCATGCACTTATCTACAGGAATGCTCTTTAAGGCAGTGCATCTCACAGTCAGTAGTGAAGACGGGGTCAGGGACTCTCTTGCTATTACAGCAGCTCCAAAACAGAAAAGTCCAAAGCATGGCATAGAAGTTAGTATGAAATTCTAACTTTACAAGAACTAATCTTCTTGCTAGCACAGTTACATATGGAATCAATTCTGCCCATCACGCTCAGTTCACACATCAGCGACAATTCCCGGTGCCACAGCTCTTTGCTGGTTTACATTAACAGCTTAACAAGTGCCAAAAAGAAAGAGAGCAGCAGAGATGTTTCACTCAAGCACTATTTCTACTGAAGCTCTGTGCCTTACTATGCTACAGTGTGTGCATTTCATTCAGGGTAATCTAGTGACTCTGCCAGATCCTGGGCAAACTCTCAAGAGCAGTGTGGCCTAAAAAAAAAAGCCAAAATAGAAAAAGTCAGGCCTAGCACTTTGAAACATGAGGCCCAAAGACAGCTTTTGTACATGTACCACCCACCCTTGGCTTCAGTAAGAGTTGGGCATGGCTGCACCAGGGGCTATGCTGGACCTGCCCTAAAAGAACTTTTCCTGTATATCATCTGAGATGCAGCAAACCACAGGATACGAGAGAAAAAAAGGGCAAATCCTGGGAGAAAAATACTCTTTTGTTGTACAGAGAAAAAGAGTTTGGAAGTATTTACTGCCATGTAAGTACAGATGATCTTTGAAGGATTAAACATATCTTCATGTATAGTTGTATAAGAAGGTCCCACTCTATTCAAGGCCTCTGATGCGGTCATTTCTACAGCTGTCAAATCATTGCATGACAACAGTAAGGATCTATAGTAATTACCCGGTAACCAGCACCCACAGACATGGCAGAGAACAGTCACTGTATGACAAAAATCATTATCCTGACTACAGGTGATAAAATGAATAAATTACAGCATTGTTACACCCATTTTGCACAAGGCACCCTGCTCTCCACAAAATCCTACAAGGTTCTTCACACAAAAGGTACTAACAGACAGCTTATCAAGAGTACTTGTCATTTCAAAAAGCTCAGAGCACTTTAGAAAGCAAGAAAAGCATCATCACAAGCACAGAAAACAAAAAAAAAAAGACCACACAAGGCTATGAATAAACTCCAGTCCCTCCAGGGCTGCAAGAAGAGATGAGGCATTTGCCAGCCTGGCTTTGGAGGCTGCAGGTACCTACTCCCAGCAGTTCTGAAGGAAAGGGATGCTCCCCTTCATCTGAAATGCAACCACTGCAGAACGCTGTGCACATCCATTCTCCTGAGAAACCAGAAAAGCAGCTACCACAGACTTCATTTCAGCAGCAAGAACACATTGATGGCATGGAGACACATATTTGTGAAGCTTCTTATGTGGGGAAGCTGATCCCAGCCCAGGAGCAAAGGAGCCCAAGCACATTCAGCTATATTAGCCTGCTAACTGGGAAAGAGGGAGAGAACAACAGCAGGTAGCTAAAAGAGTACATCAAGGTCTCAAAAAAGTCTTGGCTTTCTGTAGATCCTCAACTCTTCATTTTGATAAAGCTCAGTAGCACTGAATTCTCTGGAGACTTTTATCACTGCATTTCCCCTCTCAAATTACACCTCATGCCCTCTTCTTCTTAGCTTTCATGACTCTCTGCTCAGCACAACCTCATCTGAGCTGTGCAGCTTGCAGAGTCTCTTCCTCAGACTAAGGATAAGCAGCAACTGCACTGAGTTACTGATGGGAGACATCAGGGTGGCCATCCAGACTGTAGCAGGTACAGAGTTGTGACAGAAAAGAGAAAGAAGATGGTGGCCAGCTTGTAATAGCACAAAACACCCCACAGAGCATTGCATTTCGCTGACCTGTTGAATACTTCCGCGTCCTCTCGGAGTCTTTGTACAGGGATCCCATGATATCACCCATGGATCTGGAGATCCTCATTTCATGCTGTTTACTGTTGTTCGGCTGGAGGAGCTGGTAACCAGACAAAGGGAATGATCAGACTTGGCCAGAGCCCTTGTGGACACACCATGACCGTATTACCCAAGAACTATTAAAAACAAAACCAAAACCCAACAAAAACAAACAAACAAACAAAAAGACATGCATGTAATCTAGTGTGACCCAAAAGTCATTCACAAACAACTCACATCTGTTATTGAAATACTCTAATTAAGATTAAGCTCCAGTTGGTAATGGTAAATACAGATAGCTGACATAAAAGACTGCTCCTGCACTGCATTATTTCCAGATAGCTGAAGAGACTGATCCCTGGCCTGAACCCAGGTTTGTAATCCCCAAATCAGAGCCTCTCCTCCATGCTCCCTATGTCTTCAGTGGCAGCCTAGGCACTATAGAGGTTCCTCAGTAACAGAGCAGAGGAACAGAGATTGGAGGATCAGGCTCTGCTAGGGAAGACAGATAAGGGGGAGAGCAAGGAAATGCATATCCAGCTGGTAAATTAAGTGGTAGTGGCCAAGTCTTACTAAGATAACATGCTACAGTGTGCTGTCATTTTCTGATATTTTATGTATGACCTTGGAACCGTACGTTCCATTTGTAACTATACATTATATGCAGGAGCATGGTTACATGCCTCAGGAAGAGATGGACCTACTCTCAAACATACGCATGAATCTACCCAGCTTCCCTGCTCTTAGTAGCTAACTTGCAATACTGCTGTGTTCCCACAGCTGCTAGGGTAGGTCACCCCATTTCTGCCCAGGATTTAGGAAGCTCCAACTGATGGCTGTTTGCCCCTGGGACTCTGATCCCTGCACTTTCTGAGCCTCTCAAAAGCAGTGGAAAAGTTCCAGGAGCTGCGAGCACCAGCGGTACCATGAGGACAAGCACTATGAATTTCAAGACTCCCAGTCTCTCTGGTACTTCTAGGAAATATAAGGAAAAAAACCCAGAGTTGCAACATCTGCAAATCCCTTGCTTTACAGCCTGTGCTTGGGGCAGCACGACATGTGCTTTGGCAAGACACTGTGCAGGCGAGGTCAAGTTAACAGGCTTAACTGCAAAACCACTGAGCTCACAAAAAACAAACAAATACACGGGGGAAAAAAAAAGGACAGTCCTGCAGGAGACTGAGGGATTCTCCAGTTTGCTCTGCCTGGCCTTCAATACTGAAGCATGACATGGAGGGAACAGTCCCCATGCTGCCAGAAAGCATGGCAAGGGCCAGGGCACCACCCTGCATATGAAGGAGAGGCTACCAAGGAATGATGACAGCAACCCTAGGCAGAAAGCACAAGGGGTTCTCTTGGGGTTTAATCTTGCCTGAGAATCAGTACAGTATTTAACCCTTCCCAGGATGCAGGAGGAGCGAGAGGGAGCTGAGCTCAGGCTCTGGACTGCCACCACAAGAGGATTTCTCAGCAGCTGAGCCAGAGCAGGGCTGACCCCTCTCATGACCAGCTTGCCCTCTGCTCTCCACCATCAGGAGACTCGTTTCCACTCCCCAATGCAATAACAAGGCATCTCGCTCCGGATACAAAAGAGCGGAGAAGGTGAAGGGCTCACATTCGCTTTCTTTGGAGCGCTCACAAGGATCCTCAGGCTCTTCAGGGAAGGGCTCAGCTCCAACTGTTCCATCGCTTCGTCCAAATCTTCCTGGGATTTCAGCGGGATCAGGAGCTGGAAGGAATTGAACAAACACCGGAGCATGGTAGTGTCACACTTCTGGGTAAACAGAGGAAGCCAGATCCTTGCAGTGAGCAGCTGGGAATCAGGGGACAAGGGAGGAACCCAAGGAGGTGGACACAAAACAGATGCCTTATGCCCTCCAGTTTGCTGAGCTCTACTGTTTTCTTCCAAGTTCTCATCTACCATGGAACAGATGCAAAAAATCACAGCAAAAAACATCTGCAAGGAGAGAGCTTAAAGGTCACATCATCAATTCAGCTAGTGGGAAGAAGAGAGGGCTGAGATGAAACCTTAAGCTTGTTGCCTGCTATTCTGGGGCTGTTCCGATACTGGAGTTTGTAGGTAAGACCTGCTGCCGCCCAGGCCCAAAACAGCCCCACACATTCTTTCTGGGTTTCTTCCTGGGAAGATGGCCAGAGAATGGCACTTCAAGAAAGCAGTGAGCTGCACCCAAGAATTTACTCTGGTAGATCCTCAGAGGCCTTCCCGACTGCTGTTCCTGTGCACTGACAGTCTCCCTAGTGTTTGGGCATCATGTGAAATCAGGGAACATCTCACAAGTAGGTCTCTTCCCTTTTAATATGAAGGGTGTGCTTTGGTCTCCCTCCAAGAACCACTTTGACTTCCAGCAAGACAAATTGAGCTTTTACTCTTTACAAGGTAAATAGAACAGAGACCTAAACAGTGCCATATCTATCAGGCAGCTAAAGGTCCTGATATGTTCCTGGCAAGTGTCAGACTATTGCTTTCATATCTCCAAAGGGAATCTGACTCTCCTGACATTGCTGTGTGGTGTACCACGTCCTGCAGACAGCCTGCAAAGTTTCCAGTGCCCAACACAGCTGCACTTCAGAGGGGCTCTGTGGCCTTTTGCTGCCCCAGGCTAAGACTAAACACACAACTTTTTTGCCCCTTGTTCAGGGGCCTTCTGCCTAATCCCATAAAAACCAGGCCTCAGCCTCTCTAGGTTGCCTCGGGCACTGGCACTGGATCCAGCCAACAACCTATGTTATACTTATGCTTGTGCCAAAGTATACAACAGTTCCACCTACCAAGGGGACCGAGTGGCCACAACACCCAGTAGGCTCTTGCTGGTTACTGGGAGCCACAGCTGCCCAGAACTCCTGAAAGGCAGCTCAGGCCTCTAGGTGATGAGGGTTTATGCCACCAGCCACAGCAAACACACCTCAGATCAACCACCACAGAAGACGACACTCAAAAGCCGCCTGTGTCTACCTTTTTGATCCCAGGGTGTTGCCAAGGGTTTGGCTGTTGGCCTGCAGGCAAATACACTCGGACTGTGTGCACTGAGGCTAGGAGCTCAAGGATGACCAGGTCAAGGGAAAACTGTGGGCCCTGGCCAACAGAGATGAGGTTTCAGCTTAGGAAACTGCCAGAGTCACCTCCTGTACTGCTACCATCCTTCTCCCAAGGATCGCAGCCTGACCATCAACCTCCACCTTAGATGTGCACATCGCTGCTGGTTTTACACTGTAAGCACCTCAAGGTTTGGACTGAGTTTCTCCTCTCCTGTGTGATAGGAAGGTTATCTTCCATCCCCATTTTGCAGACAGGGAACTTAGCCATATGCAGGCCACCTATTTTATATGATAAAGATCAGGATTAACATTGCCAGAGAACCATGTAATCATTTAGGTTGGAAAAGACCTTAAAAATCATTGAGCCCAACTATAAACCTAACAATGACAAGCCCACCACTAAACCATGTCCCTAAATGCCACATATTTACACATCTTTTAAATACTTCAAGGGATGGCGACAACTCCTTCCCTGGGCAGCCTGTTCCAGTGCTTGACAACCCTTTCAGTAAAGAAATTTTTCATAATAGCCAATATAAACCTCCCTTGGCACAATTTAAGGCCATTTCCCATCCTATCACTTGTTACCTGGGAGAAGAGACTGACCCCCATCTTACTACAACCTCCTTTGAGGTAGCTGTAGAGAGTGATTAGGTCCCCCCTGAGTCTTCTCATCTCCAGACTAAACACCCCAGTTCCCTCAGCCGTTCCTCATCACACTTGTGCTCCAGACCCTTCACCAGCTTTGTTGCTCTTCTCTGGACCTGCTTCAGCACCTCAATGTCTCTCTTGCAGTGAGGGACCCAAAATGTCCCAAGAAAACCAAGCTCCTGCAGCTGTGGATAGCAAGTAGTCCTCAGCTTATACCTACCGTAGGCACCCAGCTTCAAGATACTAAAAGCCAGGTCTGCAGAGGCGCACTGCAATAGCTAAGCTTTATACAACCAGCTATTCTGTAGACTATACAGTCCCAAATTAGATACCCAGAACCTCCATAGCTTGGCATGGGAGAAGTGGATATCCAGAAATGGGATTAGCAGGTGAAAAAAGGAAGCTGTTAGGTGTAATTGCTGGAAGCAATGCTAATTGCTAAGGCAAGGCCAGTTCTCGAAAGATATTTAAGGAATGAACTCCAGGTTGAGCTAGGAGTGCTCTTCTGGTATTAGGTATGTAAATGTGGTTAAGAAGTTTCTACAGAAAGAGCCTCTAAAACAAAGCATTTATCACATTCACCCAGGAAGAGGGATAATGAGGCTGTGCACTCTTAGTCTGAAAACTAGTTATTTGTGTGTAGGAAAAAGATTCCAAGAGAAACTCTTGAGTTAGCCTTGCCCCAGGATCTCCTACAGGCTGCAGGGACTTGAGTTCTCAACCAAACTGGATGGGGAAAAGTTCAGGAGGACATCCCTTACCCCCCAAGCAAGGGACCTAACCAGCTGGAGAGTTCACAGAGAACACCAACACCAGTCTTGCCTGGGCTGGGCCTCACAAGCAAGGCTGGAAACAGATTCTCACTCTGGGACAGGGCTTGGACATGACTGAAAGTACTCACCAGGTAGATACCAACTATTCAGGGCTCTCAGGAGGTCCATGGAGTAAATGGTTAGACCACAGTTCATGGTTAAACTTTGAGATCTGAATGAATCACCCATGTCCACAGCAGATATAAGACAAAGATGGTATTGAACATGTCTAACAAATGCTTTGCAGCTGTTCCTGAAGCAGTGAAGCTAAAGAGATTCTCCTGGTGCACTGCTTAACCCTCTTGAAGTTCACAAGGGCTCCACAGGAGCACCAAGCAGACAAGCCTTCTCTCCTACACTCACCCAAACAGAAAAGAGATGGTGGAATGCTGCTCCCCCTCATTTCACCACTAAGCAGAATTTTACTCTGCACTGTAAGTATAGTCCCATTGCTCACCCATCCCTTTACTGAGCTCCTCACAAGTGTTCAGAGCAATCCCTCTGCTGCTGCTCTGAACAGAATGTTCTGCAGGTCACTCCATCTCACTCCAATATCACAACATTAATGCGTTTGCATGCCTGCTTCAGAGAAGCCAAAAACATCAGGCAGAAATTGCCCTCCTGTAAAAGGGACTGGAGCCAGTATTTAGCTTGGCTTTACCTATTACCCACATCTGGCAAATAGATTTTGCTCCAATTGGCTTCCAGACTGTGGCACATACGGATATCAGAAACAGATATCTACTAGGCATGAAACTAAATATAGATTCATGCAGAACCATGTCTGTAATTGCCAGGGTGCGTTTGCAGGAACTGCAGTAACTTACTCTGTCTGCAGAGTGAGCAGCCATGATGAACAGCAAAGTTTACCTACACAAAAGTTTCACTAAATAGAGCTTACTAGATTTTCTTCTTCCTTTTAAATAGTATACTCTTAATGTTATAGTATCAGACTTTGCAGTCAATCCACTGCAGTCTAAAGAACGTGAGTGCAAAGGGTGAGTTTTCACCAACTGCGACAGTATTACTAGACCTCAATCTAAGACACTGCAAAAAGCCAAAGAATAGTAGGAAATAGGGTTGGGGAAAAATCTGAGAGGTCAATTAGTTCATCTTCCTGCCCAATGCAGGACCAATTGGTATCAACAACACTCAACAAATGTTTGTTAAATATGCCTTTATCTCATCCCCCCCATAATGGAGCTTCTACTACTTCCTCAGGCTTTAACTCTCCTTAATCTTCCATCATCCAAAATGATGCTGATGGGCCACCTCAGGGAGACAAGCAATGGGTGGTCAGAAGGGAAGCGGTGGTACACTGAGGCTCAGTGTTATGCCCAAGGTCACATCGTAAGTTGGTCACGGAGATGGGACAAATGACAAGGTAACAGTCACACCTGGAGCTGCTGTTTAGCCGCGCATACAGATCGAATTCAGTCAGAAGCCAGTCTTTCAAACTGCCTAACAAACACCACACCATGCTGCCCATGGCCAGGCCAGATTTTGCTGCCCTGCTCATTGGCAAGATGAGCCCAGCCTAGTACTAACATGCAGATGTGCCCCATGCGGTACATCCCCAGCCAGGCCCCACTCTTATCTTTACCAGCCCAAGCCCGCTGATTCCATGGTCCTACCAGGATATGATTCATGCATGCCCCTGCTCCACCCTGCTGGCATGCTCATCTCACTGATCTTGGCTTCAGGACTCCTGCTTCACTGGGACGGGGACTGACATTTAGTGAGCTTTTGTAGGGGCCCTGTTGACCTCAATGTATTTTTGGTCTACAAGGTGCTACTGCAAGAGAAACATTTGATGGCAACAAACAATTACTGCACAGTTCCCTTTGAGCATGAAGAGAGGGTGAAACATTTAATTGTAATGAGTCTGTGTTCAGGCTACCTCTGACGCTTGCAGTCATGAGACTCAAAAACCTGCCCCAGAAGACACTAGGAGCCAGATGCTAAGGTGTCACCATGTGGACGTGAAGGCTATCTCCCTGAAGGTCGCTTTTGTCTGCTCATAGTGTTTCCACAATAACGACCCTGAATTACTACTGCTCAGACCTCTTCCCAAAGGTGTGGGTTCTCACAGAAGGAATTTTTGTGCAGGGAAAACCAAAATGCCGGAAGTCATCCTTCAACCCTAAGAAGTTTGGAGTACCCAAAGGACTGCTCATGTTCCTGCTATGTGCTGTGCACGTGCCCAGGAAGACAGCCTCTAACATGGGATAAAATGAATTATTTAAGCTTTATTTAAGCTTCTGTTTGCTGTGGTTGGAAAAAATTCCTCTTGCAGTGGAAAGAAACCTGGAATGAAATGAGTCATTCCTGGAGAATTCAATGGCAGGCTTTTCCCGGGAGGGCTGTCAGAGAATGCCCAAGATTAGAAACCTGGCTACAGTCAAAGCCAAAACCCAGCGGACACTTTGGTATCATGAGGTACCTATTATAGAAGAATAGCAACTTTTTTTTTGTGGATCAAATCTCCATTGAAACAGAAGGGAGGAAAGAAAACTTAAAAAAAGAGAGAGGGAAAGTTCTCTTTGCAGCCTCTCTCTCCATTCATACTTTAATGAAAAGCTGTTAGTAATATGCAACTAATACTTGAACAACCAAGCTGTCAGCACAGATCCAAAAGCATTTGTATTTAAAATGCTTTTAATGCATTTAAAAGCCCACCTATTTGTCATCTGGCTCACTCTCCTCCTTCCCAAAGCCAAACCCACCTTTAGAGTTCAGTGACTCCAGATGCCTCCCCAGCTTATGGAGCAAGATGCCACACTGAGCACACTTAAACAGATGCCAAGGATTGCCCCCTTCTAGGTAAAGGCCCACGTCAGTATCATCCTTTCAGACACAGTGCTGGGCTCAAAGACAAAGCTAGAAAAATACAGTGGAAAAATAAAGAAGGGTGGAGAAGAAATGTCTTCAAGCCTTAAAATGCAAAGACTGGAGAGGAAGGGTTTCTTGGCTGCCTGTATATGGCCACAGGACCTGCTAGAGGAACCTTCAGTGATGCACATTTTAGTGTAGAGCTGGCTACGAGAGCATGCATATCATTCTGGGGTTTTGGGGTGAAACAGTCAGTGTAAAGTGCACTGTGTTACCAGCACTGTCCATCATGCTCCTGCAACTGCCCCCAAGATAGGAAGGCTTCACATCCAACCCAAACACACAGTAGACTACAGTCACTTCAAGAAAGCCGCCTGGTCTCAGCCATTCTCCTCTGTGCCCTGAGCATGCTCTCACAAGCCAGACACGTTCTGCAAGGTGACCCTACTGCCCCAAGGGTGTTGATGGGAAAACACCTATTGCTGCTGACTGCACAGCTCAACTGACAATGTATCCATCACCTCAGTTACTTAATTCCTCCCCGTTTGAGTTACACAGATTTTTTTTTTTGTTCTGGGGGAAAGAAAATGTTCCTGTGCCACCATTTAACAGTCCTTAACTGAAATCATTTTGAGAAGAAAGAACCTGGCTTGGTGTCTGAGAATCCAACTGAGCTGAGTCCAGACAACGGCTCTTGCATGCTCACTAGCTGGGAACCACAAAATAAGATCGTTTTTCCTCACATCCATGTATAACATTAAACAAGGGCCTTAAGAACAAACCCGCTGCCCAATTCTGAAATGGGCACCAGGCACCCTAAATCTCCCCCTTTAGCAATCAGGAGAAGAATACCTCGTTGTTCACACAGACTAAGTCCATCGTCTGTCCAAAAGCATCCGTGACCTTCTGCACCACTTCTTTGAATCTGACTGGTCTTGGAAACTGGATAATCCTGTACACATAAGCAAATACAACAATAGTCTCAATTTAGTAAAGGCATACTAGAATTTGGGCTTAGACTAACAATACAGAAGAAAGAACCTGTATTTTTCTATCATGAAACATAATGCTTGCTCCTTGCTTTCACACTCAGAAATGCTACTCATCTACTATGCTCAAAAAGAAACTTGATGTACCCTGCAAGAATATCTACCAACAATCCTAGTGCAGCTCCTCTGCTCCTCCCCCTACTATGAGATACAGGCAGAAAAGAAGGAAGTCCAGCAGCCCTTCACTGGAGAAGGCCCAGGATCAGGCACTGGTCAGTGATTTATCACCTCCATTTTCAGCAAGTAGCTCTGAATAGGAGGGAGGGATGGAAGAGATGCAGTTTGGCATCCTGCGACTCTCCCGTACCATCACATGCAGCAGCTCCATAGATACATATCAGCAGGTACAGTCTACAGTAACATTCCTTAAATTTTCTTTGGCTTTAACATGCAACTTGGACCATCAGCCTGTGAGCTACCAGCCCTGTGTCCTGCCCTGCCACAGTCACTGAGCACCAAGCAGAGGTGATTCCATGAAAATGTCAAGCAGGGAAGGGCGGGCAAGCTTTAACTCCCAGCTCTATTTTTATGGGACCCATGCCCAAAACCTGGTTATCTTAAGTAAGTGTCATAGGCTGCTA